ATTAACAAACACAATAAAGAAGGAGAGATCAGGGCGACAGATGTTTGATAGGAAAGAAGGAGCAAACCATACCAAAGCACCCGCCAACCACCCACAGTCTAGTATTTGACAGCGGTGCACTTACTCTAAAAGCGGCGTGGCTTTGGAGAAAAAGTTGAAGAAGAGCTGGTACTCGTCCTCACACACGTGCACCATGAAGGCACAGCCGCTCCGCATCTGTGGGGGATACACACACAACCGTTTTTACTTTAGTTTAGTTTTAGTAAGAGTTCTACGGCACTTGTAACAAAATAAGGTTATATAAGTGCCGAAGATTAGATGTATTATATGAGAGTTTTGGGTTTTTTCTGGTAAGAGTTTTACGGCACTTGCAACACAATGAGGTCACATAAATGCCGAAGATCAGAGGTGTTACAAGGGAATAACAAACACAAAAAAGAAAGAGGAGAGAAAAGGATGATAGATGTCTTTTTTCTTTTAGTAAGAATTTTACGGCACTTGCAACACAATAAGGTCATATAGTGCTGAAGAATAGAGGGGAGATAAAGACGATAGACTTTTGATACGAAAGAAGGAGCAAACAACATCAGAGCAACTGCCAACCACCCACGGGTTGGAGTTTTAGTAAAGAGAAGCACATCGACACAATAACGGACAGGTAGCGAGGGGAAAAGTAGGACAGAAACACCAGAGGAGAAGAAAAGAAGTGGAAGCTACCAGTGGCACCTTCCAACCACCCAATAGAACACAAACATAACAGCTGATGAATACATCACATCTGAGACATTTCTAGATAAGAGTTAAGAGTTTTTTTAAATATTTTTCCTGTGGAACAAAACGGAAAATCTGCTTCCCACACAATTATTTTTGCCTGGTAAATGGAGAAACGGATCTGATGAATGAAAAATAGATTTAAGAACAGACAATGCCCAAAATAACGGGGGGGGGGGGGGGGAACGGAAATAGCTGAAAAACAGCATCCCTGCAAGATATTCAATAAAAAAATAACCCCATACAGAAATCCAACTCAGGTCTTCTGCATGCAACCATGACATGCCTATCCTTACGCCACATACATCAGTGTCACTACCCTTTCGTGTAAAATACAAACCACCATCGCATGTAAGAGAGGAGAGGTGACCAAAAGGTGAACTCACCAAGGCACAGTGGTCGCGGACGTGCTTGGAGGCCATGTCTGTGATGGTGGTGGAGATGCTGGGACCCAGTAGGACCTCACGCTGGCTGAAGTAGAAGCTGTGGCAGTCACCCAGCGCCTGGCTGTATCTGGGAACAACATTTTGGGTTTATGTTTTAGTTTGAGTTTTATGGCACTTGCAACACAATAAGGTCATATAAGTGCCAAAGATTGGAGGTGTTACAAAGGAGTGAGTTTTAGTAAGAGTTTTATGGCACATGCAACACAATAAGGTTATATAAGTGCCAAAGATTAGAGGTGTTACAAAAGAATAACAAACATAAAAAAGAAGGAAGGGAGATAAGGACGTTAAATATTTGATAGGAAAGAAGGAGCAAACCACACCCGAGGACCCACCAACCATCCACTTTTGTTATTTTTGTTTGTTATTCTTGTTTGCTTATTTGTCTAATGCACTACAAAACACAAACAGATCACTTTAAGAGAAACACCCACTCACATTGTATGGGTGTCAGTCAAAAATCAACAGAGGTGTAGGACAAAAAGAGAGCGCGACAAATAAAGATTTTTTTTAAAGAATGAGGAAAAAGTATCGACTTTAAGCCCGAAAGGTGGAGGTAGATGAGTGGTTTCCAGCCTAAATGATTTGCGCTCCAGGGTAGAGAGAGCATATCGTCATACTTTTATATCCTTTCTATCGATTCAAGATAAGCCTAAATATGAAGTAAAAGACTTCTTTTTCAGAAAAATAGACACAATGTTAACACCAAAGTTGTTGTTCAAAGTTGGGAATAAGACAGACAGACAGACAGACAGACAGACAGACAGACAGACAGACAGACAGACAGACAGACAGACAGTGAAGAAGTAGGTCTCCTTCCCTCCCCCCCCCAACAACATAACAACATGAGAACAATTTAATTATCACGAATGACCCTGAGAACAGGAGAAAACGGAGGGTAACAAAACAGAAAGTCTATCCGTTTGAGTGAAACAAAACAGAAAGTCTGTCCCATGGAGTGTAACAAAGGGCAAACAAACTGCCACTTACTCGTTGTCTTTGTCCATCCTGATCTCCAGCTGTTCCGTCATGGCCTTGACCTTGGGAGCGTTGGCACGGAATTTTCCGTAGAACAGAGTGAAGGCGTTGTCGGCCATGTTGGGAGCATCCTGGAACCACAGAGTGGAGACAGTCAGACAAACAACTCGTGGCCAGTCGACAGTAGTAAGTTAAAAACATGTTTTCGTTTTACTGTTTCAAAATGCGAACAAAGCACACTGATCTGTCAGCTGATCAGGAAAACCTTTCTCCCCACACATTGCACAAACTGTACTAGCAAGTCTCCAGACACATTTCAGAAGAAATAAATTATGGGGGAAAAAACTGTTTCAATTCTTCTCCATCTTTTCGGCAAATATTATGAGTACGCTACTGCATCCTATCAATGCACCGTAAAACCTTCCTTGACATAAGAGTTAAGTTTTAGTTTCAGTATGAGTTTTACAGCACTTGCAACACAAACAGAAGGTCATTCAAGTGCCGAAGATCAGAAGAGTTACTAGAGGGTAACATACAAAGAAAACGAGGAGAGATAAGGAGGAGAGATAAGAAGGAGAGATAAGACAGCGAAAGGTCTTGTCAGTGTGTTAGTGTTTGAACATGCTTCTCGAGAAGCTGAGAATGTTTCTGAGTGTTCTATGGTCTGCTGGGGAAATAAGATAGTGTTAAGTGCATAGAGCTTGCTGTCGAGCAGAGGGGTATGCACTATACAAAAATGTTATTTATTACTATTACTATTATTATTATTATAATTATTATTATAAGGATGATAGATCTTTGATAGAAAAGAAGCAAACCACAACAGAGCGCCCGCCAACCCCCCACGAGGAAGCGAGAAGAGCATGACGTACCTTCTTGGGCTGGACTTGCTGCGTGGCGTTGAGCAGGATGTTGTTGATATGGGTTTTGATGAGATTCAGGGCTTTGCTCAGACATTGGCGGAACCGCGCCAGGTAAATGTCGCACTCTTTGTACCGCGGCTGGGGAGCAGGGGCAGACAGAAATGGTGAAATGGTACAGGTTTAACGTCACTATCAACACTATTAGCTTATTGAACTCATTATCCCCGAGGGGGGTAAACCCAATATGCCGGGGACGTTTTTTGGTGCTAAATCTAAAAAATGACCATAACGTCATTAAACGGGTCATTAAATCAAAAAAAGCAAACCTATTTTGATAGTTCTTCATCTAATGAATGAAATGCCGATAAAAGAGCCCTACTTTCGGCAATTGCCAAAAAGAAATTTGATGTCGAAGTCGTAAAGGAATGTGCCCGAGCCGCTGTCAGCGACTCACCAACACAACTGTTCCAACCGTGAGCCACTGGGAGCAGTTTGCCGGAGACAAAGAGTTAAGAGGCGGGACCTCCGAGTTTAACGACCATCTCCAAAAGGAAAGAGCTAAGTAAGAAATTTGTGTAAAGTGCCTTTCCCAAGGACACAACATCAGACCGAGCTGGGGGACAGAGAATTTCCTTCACATTCTAACACTTTGTCAGTTCTTTTGAAATTTACAGCACTTGTAACACAAATAGGTCATATATGCGCTGAAGAATACAGATGCTACTATGGAGAGAGAGGGTGTCTCTTTAGGGCCAAAAGACATACTGTGCTCCCAAGGCAATACAAATTTCTTTTTCTTTTCAAATCTTTGAGATGACCAGCATTTAATATGAAATCCACAATTACATAACGCTACAAAATAACGGAAAATAAAAATAAAAGGTATCTGAACCAAAGCGTAAACTTATTTCATCTCTGAGAATAAAATTTACAATGTTCAGTTGTTTGTTTGTGTGAAAGGACAAACTTCACAATAAAAGAAATTAGCATAATAGTAACACTGTTCTAAACAGATGAAAACTTACGTTGCTTTTCAAATATAAAATGCATTCATCCATCCGCGACAGGAGTGGGATGAAAGTTTCACCAGTGACAGACAGCATCTGCCGGCTCAGTTTCTGAAATGGAAAGAAATTTCTTGCAAATACCGAAATGATACAGGTTTAACGCCCTCATCAACACTGTCAGGTTATTTGAGAGGCGGGACCTCCGAGTTTAACGTCCATCTCTGAAAGGACCGAGCCAAATGGGAAATTCGTGTAAACCGCAAGGTCATATCATCGGACCGAGCTGAGACTCGAACCCCAAACCTGAAATCTCACAATTACGAGTCCGGTAGCCTAACTTGCAAATACCAGTTGTATACAGAAAAGATGAGGCTGAAAATGGAAGAAATGCTCACAAGAGATTAATGTACAGTGGAACTTGAGTAAGACGGCCACGCATTGTCCAGGAGAAAAGTGTCCGTATAAGACAGGTGGCCGTCTTAGGCAAAACTGATCAAAATGAGGAAAACAAACTATTTACTTCTGAGGTCCCAACTGGAGGTGGTTGCAGGCTTAGGACTGCCCTAGGGCTGATTAAAATGTGTTTTTGTTCTTGCTGTTGTTTTTTGCTGTTGTTTTATTTCTTTTCAAAGGAGGGAAAGGATAGGACGGTTTTTGTGGGAATTTTTGCTGTTAGTTTTATTTTTATTTTTAAACTATGGTTCTAGGAAAGGTCAAAACAAAACTAAATGTTTCAGACGAGGAAGGCCAAGTGTCATGTATAGTAAAACAAATAAATGGGTCGCCATCACTTGGCGAACGAGCGACACTTCCGTCGCGAGTTTGTGTTGACTTCCATTGTTATGGATTGGGTTTACGACTGAGTTGTGGGCGGGCCTTATAGGTTATGACGGATCACACGCTGCCCTTACCAACAGCTGAAAATTTATCGTTACCCATTGGTCAACTTGGGTAAACATTGGGAGTGACCTAAGCAACATGACTGTTCCATCCTTTGGAGGGACTGACAACGACAGGTGAATAAATTATGACGGCTTGTCCACAGCGTTAGGGGAAAATACATAATTTTTGACAAAGCCTGGCCGCCTTAGGTAGGCAAATTTAGCCGTGGGTTGATAAAATAGGGTGGTCGCGGCCGCGTTGGACAGGTGCCCATTTTACACAGTTAAATTATATAGAAAAACGCAAGGGGGAAATGGAAAGTGGCCGTTTGCACAGGTGGCCGTCTTGTAAAGGTGGCTGTCATGGCAGGTTCGACTGTATTTGAAAAAAAAAGAAGGGGGGGGGGAGGAGAGAGAGAGAGAGAGAGAGAGAGAGAGAGAGAGAGAGAGAGAGAGAGAGAGAGAGAGAGAGAGAGAGAGAGAGAGAGAGAGAGAGAGAGAGAGAGAGAGGGAGGGAGGGAGGGAGAGAGAGAGAGAGGGAGGGAGGGAGGGAGAGAGAGAGAGAGAGAGAGAGAGAGAAAGAGAGAGAGAGAGAGAGACAGAGAGAGACACAGAGAGAGAGAGAGACAGAGACAGAGAGAGAGAGACAGAGAGAGAGAGAAATAGAGACAGAGGGTGTACTCTGACAGAGAAAAAGACATATGTGAGGGAAGTTGGATACCTGCGAATGGAATATCGCAACCTAAGAATTACAAAGTTCTATTTGACATTTTTGGCCATTTTGAGTTAATAAGACCACGAGGTCAGAAACCAAATGTTCTATCTGCTCTATCAAAAGTGTAAAATTTTACAGAGCCGTTATCAAGATATTCCAAGAACTGCATTTGAAAAAGCTTGACATATTGAGGCAAAACTAGGTACTGAGCAGATAGAACTTTGTAATGGTAAGGTAGCGAAATATTTCATGTTATTTTCATGGCACGAAATCATTTGAAACACTTCTACCCCTAGCTTCGTCTTACCGTTGAGATGCTGTCAAGCTCGTTGAAGTACGACAGCTTGTTGCTTATACTCTCAGCCAGATCCATGAGGTGAGTCTGCAGAAGCAAGGAAGAAAAAAATAATAAAATGCACAAAACCTAATTCAAATATTACCAGAGCTTCAGTTTAATTGAGAGGTACAGAACCCAAAAAAAGGCGGGGGGAGGGGGAAAGAACATGTCACAAACAGAAAGAGAGGAATAGCAAAGAAAAGCATACATGTCATCTTTTTAACAAAGAAAACATCATCAACAGCACAAAAACGCTCTGTGCAAAAATACTAATTCGCTACTATTTACAGTGTCATAGTAGGTTTCAAACAAATGTTCAAAACATCAGTTCATGTTTAAAGGTAGTTTTAAAAGAGAAATTCCAAACAAGGCGACTATGATTGCAATGTTATTTTGGGAAGGTGAAAGCAATTAATGGGTAGCAACACTTTCCCCTTTTACTATAATCAAAGAGAAGGTTTGTATAGTATAAGGTTTTACGGCGCTCGCAACTGCTAAGGTCATGAGAAGGTTTGATGATGAAGTTGGTCCATCCCCACCCCTCAGCCCCCAGAAGAGAAAACTTTCCATTTGCATCAAGCAAAAGCAGAAAAGCAGCAGCAAACATTTACCTGTTCGGCCAGCAGATGCTCACACTCCTCGTGCAAAGCGTTCGTCTTGGTGGACACGTGAACGTACTGGACTTGCAGCTGTTGCAGATACTCCAGCGCGCTCCGCACCTCAGACAGCACATTGTTGCATTGCTCTCTGTACGCTCCGAGCTCTTCTGTGTACTGGCTGAAGGAAGGGGAGAATTACGTGGTCGTTTGAAGAAGAAGAATAATAATGGTGGTCATGAAAAAACACTGCAATGGAAGATGATGAAAGTGGTTACGCTTCGACTCTTGTGCTATTGAAATTGTGTGACATTTGTTTTAGTAAGATTTTTGTGACATTTGTTTTAGTAAGATTTTACGGCACTTGCAAACAATAAGGTCATATAATAGCCGAAGAATAGATGTTTTACCAGAGAGTAACATACACAAAAAAGAAGGAGGAGAGATCAGGACGATAGATGTTTGATAGGAAAGAAGGAGCAAACCACGCGAGAGCATCCGCCAACCACCCACAGGAGCAACGAAATTGTGCACAGGTCTAATGTTTACTGTAAAATAATCAAACTGACGGAACACAACAATCCCAAGGCACAAACTCTACTATGACAGGCATTCTGACACTGAAAGCAGAAAAACACTTTAAAAAAGCACAACAACAGAATGAACGACCGACAAAGTGTGAGGTACAGCTGTACAGAAAGAGGCACAGACCTGTACAAACCGCCATCGTCCTGGTCTAGAGACTCCTCCAGCTCGGCAAACCAGGAAAAGAACTGTACAAGAGATAGGGAATAAAGTTATGATACAAAAATAAAGTGTAAAACCTTTAGTTTAAGTAAGTTTTACAGCACTTGCACCACAATAAGGATAAGTGCCGAAGAATAGATGTGTTACAAGAGAGCAACACACACAAAAAAAGGAGGAGAGAAAGGACGATAGATGTGAGATAGGTAAGAAGGAACAAACTACACCAGAGCATCCACCAACCACCCACGTGAAACCTGTAAATGAAATCTGTTACTTTATTATTGAAATTACTTAGAGCATGCTTTCCATTGCCATTCAAAATAAACAGCACAACAAAAATCTCAGTGAATGTGGTTTCTTATGGTTAAACACAAGGACTTTTATATAAAGTAAAATCAGAACAGTTGATGCTGATTGAGACAAACAGTTTCACCATCGACAAAGACATTTCAACAGAAGAAGCTCATTTATGACTCACAATGTAAAAATAAGATAATTCCTTAGCACTTGTGATATTTCAAACAAAATCAGATAAGTTGAGTTATAAAGTCTGATGAAACTGCTATAAATTCCGACGGAAACATTTCCTCTATCCATTCTTCCAGATTTGAGCTCAAACCAAAAGTCCTAAACACAAACAAAGAACAAAAGAAAACGTAACCTGTTGAGCATTTTCAATTTTGTTGCCTTCTGGCAGCTTGGTTTCAGTGATGAAAGTGGACAACGATGTTTCCTCCCCAGATTTTTCTAAAGGATTTAGACGCACCGAGGCCAGCGATGGGGAGTCATCCTCTGGTAGCTGCAGTGAATGAATCAAAAGGAAAAAGAAAAGCAGCGCTTAACTCAAAAATTCATTTATAATCAAAGACATGTCACATAGATGATTTATATGTTGTTGTTTTCAAATCCCTTTAGCTGCGAGCATTTCGCTCTTGGCAGCGCAACGCCTCCCTCAAGTAACCACATGTCCTTGTCATCTGGTCAGAGATGATTTATATAAAGTAGTGTCTTTTATTTCTACCTCAAAATGGGAGCATAGAATGACAAAATAACAATAAACCCAAGCCAATATACCCGAAAGTCACTTAGTTTGCATTCCATGTGCTACTAATATAGATTTACTTGTCTCATCAATGTACCGATGACCTCGTTGAACTTGCAGCAAGTTTTATTTGAAGAATTAACAAAGGGTTTTGTATCCAAAGCCCAAAGTCATTCATATGTATATTCATGATAATATAACTTTTTCCACATCAAACAGAAACTCAGGGCTCTCGTGGCCTAGAGGTTAAGGTGTGGGCCTCTCATTCAAAGGTCCCGGGTTAGAATCCGGGTAGTGACCGAACTATTTTCTTCTCTACAATTGTCTCCTTTCATCTCCTTTCCTGCTCTCTTGCAATATTCTGTTGTCTGCTTTCGTCTCCACTTTCTGCCCCCACTCCTCACCTCCTTTGCCCCCTCCTCTTGGCTCCTGACTCTTTCTGCAGCCTTTCCACTGCTTCTCCTTGGCTCCTTCTTACTGCTGTCTTTCAGCCACACCCCTAATCTTCTGGTAGGAAAGATCTACACCTAGCCTTCTTGGACCAAGATGAAAAATCTCGGAGGTCCCGTAAGCAAGTTGTGCACGTGAAAGATCCCTTGGTGGTACAAAATCGATAAGAGTAGGCTTCGCCGCCACCCGGGCAAAATTCAAAACTTCCTACAAACTGAAAATGTTAGATGTGTCCCACGCACTCATATGACCTTATAAGCTATTGCGAGCGCCGTAAAACACTTACAAAAAAAACAAAAACAAAAACCCCCCCCAGAAACTCTGTCGCCCCAGCAGCTGCTCTATATGAGTCTTGTCATGCCGTTTATAAATGAAATGGTTAAAGTTAAAGATGCAAAAAATTTGGGTCCACAGTATCGCAACAAAGTCAGCTGCTTAAACTCAAGCAACTTAAGTAAATGTACAGAAGCTGAAATAATAAACACAATTCAGTAAGGACCAACTTCATCATCAAGCCTTCTCTTTCATAATAAAAATAAAATAAAGGAAAATGTTGCTACCCCCATTTATTGCTTTAACCTTCCGAACAGAACCAAAGCCAACTTCTTGATTGAATGGTTCTCCCCCTCCCTCCCTCCTTCTCAATGTGTGTAGCCTATGTCCCGTGTCTGTCGCTCAGTCTCAGTGATGAGCATGCATGCATGCATGCCTCCTTGTCCTAGACCTAACAAAAGTATCTGTCTCTTTCCCTCTCCCTCTTCCTATGTTATTGTAAATATATTTGTTTATCTCTCCCTAACTCTCTTTAATCTGTTTCCTGTTAGGCATTCTATTCATTCTTTCTCTCTCTCTCTCTCTCTCTCTCTCTCTCTCTCTCTCTCTCTCTCTCTCTCTCTCTCTCTCTCTCTCTCTCTCTCTCTCAAATATCAAATCAGTCAAATGGTGCACCAGCTGTGATTTTGTAGTTTCGTTCGTTAAAGTCCCAAGAGTCAAGAGTAAGGGGGCTTCAGGGGGGCTTGCCCCGTTGACCTAATAAAAATACTGAGGTGAGGGGGGGGGGGGGGGAGGGTTCAGGGGTTCAGGGGGGATGCCCACCTGAATGGAGTGGCTATCCTCACTCGGGGTGAGAATAAAAATACGATCGACCTCTCATCCCAGGTGAGACTTGCCACCGTAGGCTATTCTCACCCGGTGTGAAACAAGACCTGTTTTTCCTAATTTCGGAATACTTTCTATCGGTGTGGATGATCAAATGGATAAAAGCAAAGAAAAAATTATGTTATAGCACAAAAGTAAGCTATGGCTATTTCACTTTTCGAATCGAGCCGAACTACGCGGGTCGCCATTTTGTTTTGCCCGGAAGTTCTTGCAAGATATTTCCTCCTCCCCTCTTCTCTCTCTCTGTCTCTTTCTGAATACTGTATATCGGTGTGGACGATCAAATTGACCAAAACAAAATTTTAAAATGATGTTAAAACACTAAGTAAATTAATTTGGTGGTCTACAAAGATGCTACAGCTATTTCACTTTTCGAATCGAGCCGAACTGTGCGGGTCGCCATTTTGTTTTGCCCGGAAGTTCTCGTGCTACTCCTCTCTCTCTCTCTCTTTCTCTCTTTCGCTCTCTCTCCACTGCCCACAGACAAAATTGTTATTGTACGCTTTTAGGTTAAGGCTAACAGTAGTAATGGAACGTTTGTTCACGGCACAGAAGTACGGCTTAAGTACGGCTAGACTCGCAGTCTAGCCGTACTTATTCTTAATATGATGGCTAGACTGACCATTTACAAAAAATAGGCCTACTGAATGGTAAATATACATTTTTAGAGTGCAGTACCTTCTAAAGCATTTGTATTTGAGACGAAACCAGGTGCCTTAATGACAGTGTATGTATTTTAAAACCTCCTGTTTTCTAATGTTCATAGGGCCTAAGATAAGTACGGCTAGACTGGCAGTCTAGCCGTACTTAAGTACGGCTAGACTTCTTGTCTAGCCGTACTTAAGTACGGGTAGACAGCCAGGCTAGCCGTACTTAAGGACGGCTAGACTGTCAGGCTAGCCGTACTTAATATTGATGGCTGTATTGTAAATGAAATTTTTAGTTTGCAATGCCAAAAGTATTTGTATTTCAGACAAAACCAAAAGGTGCCTTACTGACTTGCATGTATTTGAACCTGAATAATTACTAGATCTAGGTCTAATGAGACCTGTGTACTTAACAGGCTTGAGTCGATTGGGCCAAACCTAGATCTAAGTACGGCTAGACTGCCAGTACTTAAGTACGGCTAGCCACTTCGTTCTACAATTTTTCTATTATCACAAAGTAGAATTCTGTGGTTCAGGGTGAACGCAAAATTGGTTGGCCTAGATCTAGGCTATAACGGCAAACGCACACCGGGTGAGAATAGTCAAAAGACCCGCCTCCGCTTATTCTCACCCGGGGTGAGAATAGAGGTGGCCCCCCTGAATCTTACTACTATAAAATGATGTTTTGCAGTTTGGTTGCATCCCTGTTCTTTGTGTTGCCTATTTGATCAGCAAGACTTCCGGATTTCTTCTCTGGATGTAAACAAATGGTACGTGGACTTTAACGAACGGAACTACAACAAGTCACAAGATCACCGCTCCAGCTTGTTGAGTCTTCAAGGCTAAGTTCTAAAGCCAACTAAGAAAATCGAAATGTTCAATATGCACTAAGTACACGCACAGAAGCTAAAAGAAGTTGTTACCATGTCAACTCAGTAACAAATGCAATAGCAACAACAACAAAAACCAGCGTCAACTGCAATAAAAACAAACGAACTCACTACCGGTATTAGTTTTATATTGAAAAACACCACTTCCCGTTATCCATCGTTGCACTAAGAAGAGAAAACCTTACTTACGTCTTTCGGTAATTGCCTTTCCGAAACAACTGTACTCAAATCGTGGATCAAATCTCTCTGTTTTGATGACAATGGGGCCTTAGGATCACTTTGGGCCTCCCACTGAGAAAGTCTGTCCCGAATAACCCTTGGGTCGACGGCCCTCGACTGCGACGTGTCAGCCATTTTGTTATAAACAACAAAACACCCAAATTGCAATAGACTGAAGAGTTAACAGTTCAAAACTAGAACTAGACTTCAAAAGCTGCTTAAGGCGAAACAAATTAATTATTATATTTTTATGAGTTGTAGTCCAAGGCTCTGCATTTTTGTTTTTATCTTATTTGGGAGGGGGGGGGGGTTGAACCCTTTTTAGCTTTGAAGATTTGTTTTTTGATTTTGTAATAGTGCATGCTGTTGTCACAAACGGCATTCTCAATTATACTAACTTATCAATTTCATTTTCATAGGCCTAGTTGTAGCACCATTGCTCGGACTATTGCAAGTTTTTTTTTTTATACGCTGTTATAAATAACGTTTGGAACCATTGAAGTGAGCCTTGGTGCTTCGACTTTGAGTTCTTTTTTCTGTTTGCTTTTTCTATCATGATTTTATGGGGATTTATTAGAGGTTGGAGGTAAGGGATGGGGCATTCCCTCGGGGTTACGCACCCATCAGTTCATCATGAAAATTTCGGACTTTTCCCAACCCATTATTTTATTTTTGAGCGTGTAATATTGCTATAGCAGTTTACAAAATTTAATGAAACGTCTGTTTTTAAAATAATATTTCATGTTAGCTTAACTGCATTTATTTTTTTTTAATCAAGGATTAATAATTTAGTACGACCAGGTAACGACCAGGTACGACGTATTGATTGAAAAGACGAGTTGTTTGACTTGTGAGATTTCTCTACTGCTGCTACTGCCTACTATTGGATTTCCTGTTTGGTAAGGAAAATGAAAAAGTAAACATGGCGCGGCGGTACGATAAACTTCACCGTTTGGGCTCTGGGAGTTATGGCTGTGCATGGTTGGTTGAGAACATTGAACAACGATCCCCACGGAGGGTTTTGAAAGAAGTTCACCTCCAGACGTTAACTGAAAAAGAAGTCGAGCAAGCGCTGACGGAAGTGGCAGTCTTGGCCCGGTGTAAACACGAGAATATCATTGGGTACATCGAAGCTTTTGTTGACAGGACGTCAACGACACTTTCGATTGTGATGGACTTTGCTAGTGGAGGTAGATCTAGATCGAATCTGTGACGATATCTGTCTTGTAGTTTTTAGGAATTATTTATCAATTAACATGGTTTTTTTCATCAAAAAGTGGATGGTTGGCAGATGCTCTGGTGTGGTTTGCTTCTTCTTTACTGTCAAACATGAAACTGAAGCATCTATCATCTTTGACTTTATACTTTATCTCCCCTCCTTCTTTTTTGTGTTTGTTACTCCCTTGTAACAAGTCTAATCTTCAGCACTTATATGGCCTTATTGTGTTGCAAGTACCGTAAAACGCTTACTAAAACAAACAAAATTAGAAATGAACTTTGGGGGACAATCGCTGACAGATCAAGCCAACAAGGCCAGGGAGTGTTATTACTGTTTTGTTGTTACTGTTGCTAATGTCAATGTATTTTTTCCACTTCCCCCTTAAGCTTTTTCTGTTTGTAAAATGAACAATGGCACAGTCCAAGACACACCTGTCTATGACAACCACTTTTCTCTTGACAATGAGGGCTGTCTTGATCAGCAATTTCAATGGTATATCATTGTCGAAGTGGGTTATGCGCATGTGGAAACTACTTTGCTGATGAATTTTTATCTTTTTGATTTATTTCTAATTTCCAGGTGACCTTGATAGACAAATATGCCAACGATATGGATTATATTTTCCAAATGAGGTAAAAATGTATGAGCAATTGTAGGGAAATGAAAGTTTGGAGATATTTAGGGTTTAGCCAGAAAAGATTTATATAGGCTATATGCTCCGTTGCAGCAGTATGATGTTTTATTCCTTCCTTTTTTTAAAACTTACCCTGCTGTAGCATTTATATATGGTCATAATTATACTTCAGGAGGCAGTTGGTTTTTATCTTTATATATTGTATTCTTTCCATTTGATTTCGGAGCCTAATAAATCATAATGTAGATTACTATAGAGCTGTTTCTTGCAATGCTTTAGTTGGGTGTCAACAAAGAAATGTAAACATGCCCCTCACAGTAGAAAAACAATGCTGCCTGTCATTGTTCCTGTTGTCCTCCACTGTTTGACTTGCTGTATGATTTAGATTACAGAAAAAAAAGTTGATTGTAGCGGGTTGTTGTTCCCAGGTTGGTCCTAAACGTCATAACTTGGTACAGAATTCCAAGTCCGTTCTCAGGGATCAAACCTTGTTCCTCTTGTATGTTTAATAGAGAGAAGTTTATCCTCTCTCTCTATTTTGTACCCTGAGGACCTAGGATCTCAAAACACATCTGAAAAATATGTTATTCGCCGTCTTTCGTTTAAAAACATGCCTGATGTTTATTGTGAATTTTATAACAACTTGTAATGAAGTTCACTTTTTTAAAAATCTGGGCCTCTTTTATCATGGATGCACTTTAACAGACTGAATGAAATATTTTCTAATTGTGTTGAATTTCTTTTGTCAGACAATTTTGAGGTGGTGTGCTCAGCTGATGTCAGGGTTGCAGTATATTCATGAAAGAGGAATTTTGCATAGAGGTAGGCTATTTATAGTTTTTTAAAATTATTTGTTCTTTTTTTATTTCCATGTCCTCATTGACATTACTATGTCTTCTCAAGATGCGGAGTCTAGGTTTGTATTTCCTTTGAGGTGAAGCCAATGAATTGTTCACAGCTCTTTCTCAGAACACTCCTGTTATGTTCATCTATGAAAATCATCTGTCTTGTTTTACCTAGAAAGGAGCTTATGTTGCAAACTTGCTCTGAATTGCACTAAATGGGAAAAAGCTTATTTAAGTGAAAGTGCTAATGAGAGGCAATTAGGCTGATTGAAAAATAGATGCATATACATACATTGTATATATATTTGTCACTCAAAGTCTTTGCACGATATATATTTAGTTCACCAGCTATCATGTTCACATTTGACAATCAATGGGAAGGTAAATTAGGGGGGGGAAAAACTACAACGTGGAAATATAACTCTAATGTTTTAGCCACAGTCATATACAAATATAATGTTATTCTTTCTCCGCAGACATAAAGCCTCAAAATTTGTTCCTTTGCGGTAAACAAGTCCTGAAGCTAGGTGACTTTGGAATATCGAGAGTCCTTCAAGACACCTCAGATGTAGCGCTAACATTCATCGGCACACCGTATTACTTGAGCCCAGAGATTTGCAGGCAGCAGCCGTATCCTTCATTTTGTCCTTGAACTGTCGACAATTGATTTTATGTTTTTCAACAAATTATTTTATGTTTTATGACAATTGATTTTTTGTTTTTCCACAATTCATTTTATGCTTTTCCACAATTGATTTTTATGCTTTTCGACAAATGATTTTATGTTTTTCGACAATTGGTTTTATGTTGTGTCTGGTATTTTAGCACCATTTTACATGAAGTGCGCTTCACTTCATGTCTATGGCAATGCTCTTTCTACTTTTTCCTTCCTATTACTTTTATTTATTTTTGTTTATTGCTGATCAGACAGGGCATTGGTCGTACCGACCATCTGCCTACTATAGCTCAACTCCAACTTCCACTTCGTACTGGTAACTCATAGTGGCATCCACATAGTATGACCTTGTATGAAATAAAATCCTCATTTTTTAACAAACTCTTGGTTTGGCTCCAATTTTATTTTTTCCCTTTCCTTATGGCAGAATTGAGGAACATTGAGCCAAAGAACATGGTCTCCCAACCAGTCTAAGTTGTCCTCCTTCAGCTGAAATAAATTTTTGAAGATGATATGGATGGAAAAAGTGTACCTCTCTATTTAGGAAAAGTTCTGTGGACTGTAAGCGTTGTAACCTTGACCGCAGTTTTCCCAGCTACGACCACAAAAGCGACATGTGGGCAGCGGGCTGCGTGATGTACCAGCTGTGTAGTCTGAGGCTGCCGTTCAGGGGAGAGAATTTGCCCGCCCTGGCTGCTCAGATACAGCAAGGATATTTTGAGCCGATACCCAGGTGAATATTGAATATTGTATTTTGTTCATGTAGGCTGTACACAGAAAAAAATGTTATTTGTATGTCAATGCTTTGTATCGTTCTCTAAAATGAAAACTTAAAATTTCATCATGCACGTCAACAAATGGCCTAACTCATATTTAGTATAATTACTCGCCTCGTTTGTTTTCGAGTGTTACGATTGATTTGCAGGTATGTCGACAACAATTGAAACAAAAACACCAGAGTATTTAGAGCTTTGCAAAATAAATATGCTCTGCAACAAGAGTATAATAGCAATGTACTTACAGCAATTTACAGTATAGTATACTCTTTAGATGAAATACACTCAGTTCAACCATGTAGGGAGTACAGAGGAAAATAATGCAACTGCCCCCCCCCCCCCCCCCCCCCCCCCCATGTTTATGTTTTGCAATGTGCGTGTTCACTCGGCCTATGTGCATGCTAGACTAACATCTGTCCTATTTCCTTCCATGGACCAGCCACTGTGGTGAGGGGTTGTCTTTCCTCGTGAACAACCTGCTTGTGTCGGATCCGAACCACAGACTCTCTGCTGATGAGGTGCTTCAGTCGGTAAGACAGTAAGATGTGGCGTCGGTGGCCTAGTGGTTAGGTTCTCAGACTCGCAACCATAAGGCCATGGGTTCTAATCCCGTCGGGGACTGAACGTTGTGTCCTTGGGATAGGCACTTTGCACGAATTTTCTTCACTTCACCCAGGTGGGAATGGGTATCCAGCTGTAGACAGTGAAAGATCTTGTCAGTGTGTTTGTGTTTGAAGGCTTAGTCGGCTGCTTTCTGTGTATGCTTCGAAGGAAGCTGAGAATGTTTCTGAGTATTCTATGGTCTGCTGGGGTAATAATACAGTGTAAAACACATAGAGCTTGCTGTAGAATGGGGTTGTGCGCTATACGAATGCTATTTTATTATTATTAAGACAGGTGACCACGGTGTTAATAGCAAGGGCTTTGCTTAATAAGTTCTGAATGGAAGCAGTTTGGAGATTCTTTAAGATGTGTTATGTTCTTGCTGCTATCTTATCGTCTTGTTGAGTCACTGACGATTCTGTCGCTGCCGGATGTTCCCCTTCCATTTGATGTGATGCTGTAGACCTTGTACATTACGTATTGCAGGTTTCTTTTTGTTTAATTTACTGCTGTTTAGTGTACTCTGATGGTCAAGTGTATGTGGCGACCAGCAGCAGCAGCAGTATGTTTGAAAAACTTGTGTGTGCTGGTGTAATATTGTGTATTATGTGACGTTGAGGATATTACTTCATTATTTTATACATGCATTTGACATGGGGGGGG